CCCCAAAACCCCAAAACCCCAAAACCCCAAAACCCCAAAACCCCATTGCCAAAGAAATATATTGACATAAATATGAAAAAGCAAATGAGTGAAGAGCCGGCTTTTGAGCCTCAATTATACCATTACAAGTCTTTTTCTAATTTGAAGGAAACTAAGTCGTCTTTGAATGCTGGAATGGAGTGATATGCAGATGAAATGTTAGAAAATCCAATTGGAACTCTCCGAACAACTAGAAACAAGGTAAGGAATCTCAATTTTTTGGCGAAAATATCAAATTGTTTTGAAGGATTTTAATATACGATTTAGAAAAGAAGTTTATTGAGAAAAGAAATGTATGCAACTCAAGCTTCTGATAATCCTAGCCTGATATTACTAGAATGAGAAGTCTGATTAGTAACAAGCTACAAAGAACTTCTCTTATGTAAATCTTGCGGCTTCAATTCCTGTAATTCTTGCTGGGATGACATAATATCTTCTACAAAAGAATGCCCTCAGTGTAGAAATAAAATCACAAAAAAGGATATTGTCAAGAACATTATTGTGGAGAGAATCAAAGATCACAAAGAGAAGCTTGAAAGCTTACTAGGGACAAAGCTTTCAAGGAAGTGTCCCTCTCATAATCTTGATGGCAACTTTTTCTGAGAAACCTGCTCTAGTTTTGTTTGAATGCAATGTATCCCTGAAGGAAATCATTCTGGTCATAAGATTGTAGACATTGAATCGAAGCCCGAACTTAAAGCAAAGCTTAGAGAAGTTGATGAGCTTAGTAGAAATCTAATGAAAGCTCCAAGATTACTCCAAAAAGCTCAGGAAGAGCATTCTAAATCCCTTGATTTATACGAGAATCAGTTAAATTTATATATCAAGCGAACAAAATCAGCCCTTTTAAAATGTTTGAATGAATTCGTTAAACCATATGAGCTTGAGGTGCAACGCTTGAAAAATCAAAATATTGCTGCTAAAGGTGAATTGAACAAACTTGAGAAAGTTGCAGAAAAGATTCACTTTGAAAGTTTGAAAATAGCAGACTCTTCAGAGCTTGTAAAGTCACTTGAGAAGCAATTGACAGATGAAAATTCTCAAATAAAGGAGGTTATATGTTCAGAAAGTAAGCATATCCTACAATTTTCAAACACCTATAACTCTACATATAGATTTCCACTCAACTAAGAACCAATTCTCCAAAGCTCTCAGCCTAAATCCTCCTCCCAGCATTTTAGAACTTTCGAAAAAATTACTAATTAGAAAACTCATGCAATCTCTCTAACCTTCAACATCACCTTTTCTCCAAGGGGTTTTGGGGTTTTGGGGTTTTGGGGTTTTGGGGTTTTGGGG